AAGTGCTTTGAGACGTCTAGAAGACGTGAAAAGTGCTATATGAAATGCAAAACTCCATCCCTCTCCGACCTCCTCACCCCCCAATCCACCACCCGGCACCTCCGCTCGACTGGCACCGGCCTCCTGCTTGTCCGTCGCACCCTCCGACCCAACCATCGGAGGTTATGCTTTCAGCCACTACACCCAAAACTCTGGAACACTTTCCCTCAATCCCTTCGCCTTGCCCGCTCGCTCCCTTTTTTCAAGTCCTGCCTGAAAACCTTCCTCTTCAACCGTACTTACTGACCCCTCTCCCCCCCACCCCAGCTCCGAGTCAGACACCGCCATTGGTAAGCGCTCTGAGATGCTACTCTGGGTGGAGGGCGTTATATAAGTGCAAGCTGTTGTTGTTATTGTTGTATTCCTCGACTATGTACAGCATAGGAGGAATACAATGTGGAATGTGCTCGGTTTTTACTCAGCACGTTCAATGGCGTTGGCTAGGAATGGGGACTGAATTCCCCCTTCTAATGGTTTAACAACATCACACGTTCAAGATCTCTGTACCACAGCAAAGGCTAGATGTGGCAACCCTTAGTTCCCTCACTAAACCAGTTTCATTTCAGCAAAAACTAAAAACAAATCTATCCCTTCAGTGGCTTTAATTTATACAAAGAACCTTCACTCATAAAAAATAAATTCATTTTCACCTGACAAAATAAAAGATACTATTTTATCTACGACTACCATGCAGAATATGTCCCTCTGGAGAAACACCAGTGCTTTTCCCAGACAAAAATTCTAACTGAAAACAGAATCTAAACAAATTTTTATATCAAATATAATTTCACTGGGGAAGATAAGGAACACACCCACAAAATACACAGTCAATCTTCTTTACAACATATTCTGTGAAGGGCTTTGAGACAACATGATTAGCCACTATATCAAATGAAAGGACTATTATTATATTATAACTGTTGACCTTCATAATATTGAACTGAAGCAGAAAAGACCCTGCACTCCATCCAGCCAGTCCCAAAGTAAAAAATGAATAAATAATCCTAGAATATTGCTCATATTTTCAAATTGCTTTCTTTCCTAAATAGCTATCCAATTTCCGCTTTGGGTGTTTGTGTGCGCAAATATATCAAACTTCAACCTTAAGTATGTTACTTGCCCTGTACACGTTGATGTTTTGAGTACATCATTCATACACCAACATTGTCTGGCCTGAGATAATATTGAGGGGCAGAATGCTCCTGCATTAAGCAAGAGCCATTTAATGTCATACACAGCAACTTGGGGCATGAAGCCAATTTGCGCTGTGTGTTTTCAGACCTGACTACTACAGAGTTGGTTTAATCCAGTATTAGAAAGTGATGTAGTCGTAGCTAGTGGTAAGTAGGTAACTCCCTGCTGACTCCCTACCAACCTGCCCGCTGTCTCCATTCAGCGGGCTCTGGCCTGCTCCATGTCTCCCGCCCAACCTATCATCGGTGGCCGGGCTTTCAGCCTCTCTGGGACTCCATCCCACAGTCCCTTTGCCTCGCTTCCTCCCTTGCCTCCTTCAAGGCCGGTCTCAAGACCCTCCTCTTCGATCGTACCTTTGGTCGCCCTCCCACCTCTTTGCCTTCCCTCATCCCTAACCCATCCCTCCCCCATGCTCGGGTCCTGACCCCTGACTGTCCAGCGCCTTGGGACATCCTCCCGACGTGAAAGGCGCTCTATAAATGTAATGTTGTTGTTGTTGTAATAGTTATAGTGGTGATAGTTCATCTAAAACAAATGAGTTTTTGATTAATTCAATTCCTCTTTTTAAAGTTCCTCTATTAAACTTCTCCAAAGGACTTCACCTCTTATTACTTTGAACTTCAATGCAGTAAACTTCCCTAATTCTGAAACTGGTGAACTAGCAGAAAATAACGGGACATTCTATTCATAAAGATATACTCTTTGGTTACATTTCTCCAACTTATTCCAGCAAAAAGCATCAGGTCGATAATAACCAAAAGTACATTAAACATTTTGATCTAAGATTGTAGCAAATGTAGGTATTATGTAGTCAGTGGAACACAATATAACACCGCAAAAAATGCATTATTATACTGCATCACTTGCAATGTTAAAAAAAATCTATGGATTGTAGCTCATCATGAATTTATAAGAGTGCAGTCACAAACTGTCACTGGGCATGTTATCCACTGAAAAACAGCAAGATTTCAGACTTTCGAGTCATCTCGCCCTGGCTCTGGATGGGCAATGTGTTCCCTCCCTACACAAATGTGGTTTGCTAAATCACGCAGTTACTCATATTTCACCAGAATCCACTCCAGATACAAATGCAGTAGCAATGTTGTCACCGGAGACGCACCCACACACCCACAAAACGCGTGGCGTCCCTCCTTTCCATCTATCCATCCATCTATCTCTGGAACGTCCATGTGTAGGTGGGATGTATGGAATTCCAAGTGTGCTCTGGAGACGCTTCAGCATGATGATGAGTTTCCGCGTGTCTCAGACACCGGGCTGGCCCCAAATAAAATCCCTCCTCCTTCGCTCTTAAATTGTCACCGGTGGGCAAAAAGTTGCTCAACCCCCAGCTTTGACAACATTATTAAAAACAAAACTGAATCATGCCAGAATTAATGCGCACACACACACACACACACCCACACCTACTGACTAAGCCAGGTGTATCTGTTTCCCAGTTACTGTGCACACACTACACTGACCCACTGCGCTGATAACACTGTGAGACATCAGACACCTCAGGAAATATAGCAGTTTCCAATAAGCCTCTGTCCCTCTCTCTCCCACACTCTCCAACTCCCATCAGCAACAGATCATTACTGCTTCACTAATTCTATTCCCCCATTCCTTCTGGCCACATTTCAGACTGTTTATCTCCCTGTGTGTGTGTTTGTGTATGTGTCTGTACTGTTAACTGGGGGGGGGTTTGCAAATAATACAGGGTTCCCCTTTATAATCAGGATTGACACAATCCTACACTTGTTATTCCTCTGTTAAGTAACGCACTAATGACTGATCAGGCGACTTGGCAAAGGGGATTTGAGAGCAGAAATTGGAATGCAAATAGCATTATTATATATGGGGGATAAACCAAGACAGCCATGTTTTAACAGCCTAATACCCTCCAATAAAATACCTCTGCTCTGTGTGTGTGTGTGTGTGTGTGTGCATCTCTTGCAAATATTCCCTGCAGCCAAAAATATGCTGTCAAATGAAGATTGGCTGTGTGGATCGTCCCAAGTTTGAAGAGTTCCAGTCTTTGGCTGAACATTTTAGGGGCTACAATAATCCAGATTGCTGGAGTGTGGGCATCAGATTGGGGGTCATTTCCAATCAGCTCTATGGGGCCATTTCATTGATCATAAGAGGGATGTTTGATGAGACAGAGGGATGGGGGGGAATGGAGAGCTGAATATTTTCTACCAGTCATAAAGGGAAAGGGGGTAAAAAGCTTTCCCCCCCCCATCCCATCCCCTCCAAACATACACACTGTACCCCCCCCCATCCCCTCCAAACATACACACTGTACCCCCCCCATCCCCTCCAAACATACACACTGTACCCCCCCCCATCCCCTCCAAACATACACACTGTACCCCCCCCATCCCCTCCAAACATACACACTGTACCCCCCCCATCCCCTCCAAACATACACACTGTACCCCCCCCCTCCCCTCAAAAACAAACCATACCCCCTGTACCCCCCCCATCCCCTCCAAACATACACACTGTACCCCCCCC